CGCGCTTTTTCGATCGGAGAGGGACTCGGCGGACGCGCGCGAGACGGCAACGTCACCAATATATATATATAATGATTATATATCTCTTATATTTATCTATATATCTCTTATATTCTATTATATATTAATATGTTTATATTTATATTGTTTATATAATCTAATATCTTCAATTTTTTTGAATATATATCTTAATATATTTTTATATAGCTATATAATCATTATATCTTAAGCAGTCTTTAGATCTCTTGTACCAGCGCATCCATGAAAACTCAAGAAAATTGCAGCTAATCCAATCCATTTTGGTCTTCTTATTGCTAATTCAAATTCAATGTTTGCCTTTGCATACGTTCCTTGGCATGAGCCAACCATATTTTTATTGGCGCTAAAATCTGCACGTCTGTAGCATTTGTGTGCAATTTCCTTGCTGCAGCTGAAAAATATTTTGTAAATTATTTATTAATTATTAATAAATAAAACAATTTCTTTAATTTTTTTTATTTAAATTAAAAAATATATATGTTTGACTTCTAAAATATATGTACAGATAATCGTTTAAAAATATAAATATTTGAAACATTTCTAAGTAATTTTATAAATAAATATCACATAAATATATTTGCAAATAATATATTTCAATTTGTGAAGAAATTATAGCATCTAATAATAAAAAATACATTTTTTTTTTAATTTATTTTACTTACCCATAATAACTTTGCATATGTGCAATTTGGAAAAATTTTCTTTTTTCTTAGCTCCGTACCAACTAAAATTCACTGCCAATTCGTTTGTAAACATTTTTTTCATGATACGTACACAGGAAGTCCTCAGATCTTGGCATGTAACATGGGCTAATTGTTTAACCTAAAAATATTAAAAGGATGGAGTGTTATAAAAAGTTTATATAAATACGCATAATATTTTTTTAATATATCATTCAAAATCTTTCAAAAAATATCATTTCTTATAATATCAGTAAAGTTAAAGACCCCCGCATAATCAAAAATATATAAGAAACAGGAATAACAGACATTAGCGGTTATAAAATGAATGAAGAATAAAGAACAGTTCAAAGCACAATAAAAAAATATAAGTGACAAGTTTCATATAACTTATACACACCACATAAACTGGAAAATTGAAAAAAAATTACTCGCAAGAAATATTGTGTCACATAATCTGGAAGAACAGGTTGGAGATACGCTAAAAAGTCACCATCTAATAATGCTGTTAAAAAAAATTTATGTTTAACAAAAGTCAAGTCAGTTCCTTATTTTCAATATCTATTCTCTTATATTTTCGATTGTGCAAAGGTTTTAAATAAAAGTCAGCTTCAAATCATTGCAAAAGTCAATTGCAAT